ATAAGAGCTTGTTTGGTTTGAGGAGTGCATCTCCTCTCAAACCAAACAAACTTGAGTGTTTGACTTAGCAACCCAATTGGCAACCATCTTAGTAACCCTCTCCCCGATATGAACAAAATACCAAGAATGAGAACCGGCTGTCAATCTTCAAATATTCTGCACTATTTCATCACTTTGCCGTGGCATAATAGCGTTTCTATTTGTAATTATGAATGTTAATTTTTTTTTTTGGGTACCAACTTCTAATATCCAATAATTATATTGGATCATAATTCATTCATAATCGAATTGTATTGGATCTTATATAAGGACAAATTTTTTTAATATTTATTTCTTTATTTATAATGCTTAAACTTAAAATTTATTTAAAAAAAAAAACTGAATTTGCTCTATTAAAATTAATAGGTAGTTGGTATTATGAATGCTAAATTATTATAATAAAAGATGACCTATTGTACACCTAAAGATATGCATCTTCCCTAATTAAGGCGTAACTGCCAATCTCATAGCGAGACCCTCTACGACCAAGTTTGAAGACACTCGATGCTTAAAACCAACGCCATTAGCCAGTGCTCATGAAACGCTGCAAACAAAGGCAATGCCAGTATATGTGGCAAATCGCAAGATTGACTTGAAAAGGTAATTTTTAGGAAATTTGTCCTTTTGCACTCTTACCATTGAAGTAGAAATTGTTAGGGTCCGGCCTAGATCTGAAGTCGTACAACTGCTGAGTACAATAACTTGCAATTTTTTTCATATGAGAGACACTATGACCCTTAAATTAACAATAATTTATAAATTTTAAAGAGAAAGTTTTAACTAGAGAAATATAGGGAGAGAAGTTGAGTGAGAATTATCACATAAGTGCTGAATGATATTTATGATTCTCATTTATGACACTCGTAATACATGTCCAATTGTTGTTGGTCCACTTGTCATTGATTAGATAGTCCTTTCTTTTTTACAAGGCTTTTCCTTGTGTGGGCTTGGAATTGAAATTATGGTCCAGGTGTGAAGCCTCTATCCCAACACAAAAACTAAAACAAAAGAGGGAAATATGGAAAAAGGCATTGGTTTCTTTATTAATTTTTCATATATAAAGTGTCTATATTTTTTTTGAACATATTGGCAAGGGGCGGTTCGAAACCGCCCAGGGAAGGGGGGAAATGCATCATTGATTGGCTGATGTCAGTGGGCCTCAAGAGCCAGATGCATATAAAGTGTCTATATAAAGACTTAAAAGCACATAATCTAAATATTTTAAGGTATAAAATTAACTTAATTATACACAATCAATTGTTATAATGAATGTTAACGATTCAAATAATTTAATAATAATTTTTTTAATAAAAATAAGAGATTTTAAATTTGAATCATATACCATATGAGTAGGTTAGGTTAAGGGATGAAGAGGGTGGCCCTTACTATGCAACCCAAAATTGAAAAAAAAAATGTTATAATGTGAATAGTTAATTGCTAATGTGAACATATGTATGTACCTTATTGTCCCTAGTTAGAGGAGACAATATCCGTGTCGTTTTTAGGATGGTCATTGATAATGGATGTAAAATCTAAGGATACACACCTTCCATCCCAAAATAATAAATGTTATTTTTATTTTTATTTTTAAATTAAAGATTTGAAAATAATTTTTATTTTTTTTATCTTTTTTACCCTTTTTAAAAAAAATAAAAATAACGAATCTTTTCATGAGAAGAAGTATGTATGATTAAAATTAATATATAATTATAAAATTAAAGTAGAAATTTTTTTTCTTTCTTAAAATATGAAAAAATAACTATTATTTCAAACAAATTCTAAGTAAAAAAATATGTATTATTCTATGATGGAAGGAGTAGTGAGTATTGTGTCCCATCTGTTTCCTTTTTATTATGGTTAATGTAACCATTTGTTTAATTTTTTTTTTTTTTTTGTACTAGACTCTAATATTCGGAAGTTGCATTAAATTGAATAGCATCAGACCCTATAAGATAGAAACTGTTTAATACTTATTTCTTCATTTACAAGATTCAAATTTAATTAAAATTTTATTTTAAAAAAATCAAATATTTTTAACTCAAATCAACAAATTGTTGGGGATTAACAGGTTGTCGGCAACCAACCATTTGCTTAATGGTAGTATAAGGAAATGATATTTAATTATTTTTCATTAAAAAAAGTTAATTACTCATAACAATTTTAAAGGTAACGAAGAAGAATGAAATTTCTTTTTCGTGCAGTCACATAATCCTCATTTCCTTAATTCGATTTGCTTTACATGACTTGGCAGTTAATTATTCTCAATTTGATTCGGCTACATTTTCCACATTAACTCTTCGATCATCATAAAAAATTCATTAACGGAATGCCAATTTTTTTTTTTTTTAAAAGATAAAAATGAGAGAGGAAGAAAGCTGATGAATTTTAAGCTTGAAGGTATTAGTGGTGAGATGTTGGAGTAAATCAAATAAAACATATTTATTCAAATTAAATTATCTTTCTATTTTTTAGTAAAGTTAAAATTATCTAGTTAGATTCAAAAAAGTTAAACCCAACAAATTAATTTTAAATATACCCAATACATGTTTTTTAAAAACCCAAATGCTTCTTAATTTTAAGCCCAAACAAATTAGCTATTGCCTGCTCATATTACCAAAATCCCTAAATCCCTATTTTTTCATTTTCCTTCCACCATCTACAGATATCTATAGTCTCAAATTAAGACAATCTATATATATGGAGTATGTTAATGGGATTACTGACTGTAAATCTATTCATAGAAAATTGCTTAAAGGTAAACCATGTTTACTTACCATCTGGAAGATTTAGCTTTCTGTTGCCAAAGATACACCGATAGAAAACCATCGATTATAGTATTATAACAAGAAATAGGCGAGTTCTTATATAGAGCAAGGTAGAAAGCAGTTTCTTCACAAACTCCACCACCTTGATAGTTAGCAAAAGATGGTAGTTTATCAAATTACTTTAAAGGCAAAAATGGTGGATAAGGTCTCAAATTTATATGAAATTTGTAATTAAGGTCTCAAATTTTTATTGTGGTTAATTAAGATCATAATGTCATTGCAATTCTCAAATAGTGTCTCAATTTGAACAAATTGAAATTGCCACATCATTTGAGATACCATGTTTGCACTTAAATTAGTTCATTCTTTATAATCCGCTCACAATTCACCTTGCCATTTTTAGTGAGCTTTTTACCACTCAAATAACTTCTAAACCCTAAAACCTAATTTTCTTTTAATTTTAAAATTAGTAAGGGTTTTAGTGATGAGCAATTAAACGCAAAATTAGAAGTTAAAAGAAGATATAAGGGTTTTCCCCTGCCTTCCTCTCATAATCTCTTAGAATTCTCAACAAAATTCCAAAGAGCAGTGAAGGAATCTTAACAAGATGCCTTGATTGAAAGCACTAGTGTTGGTATTGGGAGTGAATCAGCGAATCTCTAGAATTTGTACGTGGTCAGTCACTTTCTTATTTTTAAAATTAAATCAAATCTTAAGATGTGTGATCTTTTCTATTGTTTATGGACTTTTTATAATCAATCAAAGTTTTTTAGTGTGATCTTTTCGAAATAATTTTTCTACGTGGAAAGCACTCAGGTGTCTTTAACTTTTTAATGTAAATGTTGTTTTTTTGTCTGGTATATCCAATATTTTTTTGCTCTTCTTTCGTTATCTTTTCAATTGTTGGTCCTCAAATACTTCTTTAGATTTTTTTTTCTCTAAGCTTCAAATATAATGCCTCATTTAATATTAAGAATAATATTAACCATCTTTACATAACACATTAACCAAAAAAATAGGCGAGCTATGAGTTAGTAGAAAGTACATCCATCACTAAAAATTTGTTTAGTTTGATGAGAATTGAAGAGAAGGGAAGCCTCGATCTCCCCTAAAATCAAATAAGCCTTAACGGTTTGTTTGGATAGAAAATAATAAAAGGAACTTAGGGAAGGGAGGAGGGAGGAAAAGAATCGAGAAGAAGTGGAGGGATGGAAGAGATTGAAATTAATTTTATTTCAATAGATGAAAGTAGAGTAAAGTGAAGGATAATATTTTTATTTAATTAAATAATAAAATAAAATAAAATAAAATAAAATATTTAAAATTTATTAATTAAAAAAATAATTAAAATAAAATATTTTTATATATTTATTTTTTTTAAAAATATTAAATATGTAAATTAAATCTCTCGTAATTCCTCTAATTTGTAAGGATGAAAAACAGAGGAGTAGAGAGAACTCCACCATCCCTTTATCTCCCTCCCTCTCCATTAATGAAGGAAGAAAAACAAACACACCAAGGGAGACATCTGCCTCTCTCTCTTCTCCCCTTCCCCTCCAAATCCACCAATCCAAAAAGTGTTGCCTTAGCAGCTCAACTAGCGAACCTTCTTAGTAACCCTCTTCCCCAATAAGAACGAAAGACCAAGAGTGATAACCAGCTGCCAATACTCCAAATGTTTCTGCACAATTTCATCTCAATTTGCCATGGCACAATGGCCTTTTCATTTATAACATTTATCAGTGCCAAATTAATATACTAAAAGAACGACCTATTATAAGCCTAAAGATGCATCTCGCCTAAATATTAAGGCGTAACTACCAATCTCATAGCAAGTCCCTCTACGACTATAATTGAAGACACACGTTGCTTAAAACTAACTTCATGCATCAACCACTACTCCTTTTGAAACTATGCAAACAGAAGGACAAATTTTTTAAAAGTATCTTTTCAAATCATTCTTGCCGTGCATGCCGGCATTGCTTTGTTTGCAGAGTTTCAAAAGTAGTAGTCGATGGAATTAGTTTTAAGATTGATCTGAGAAGGTAATTTTCAAGAAATTTGTCCTTCGTACTGTTAGACACTAAAGCAGATAGGGAAATATGGAAAAAAAAAAAAAGCATTGCTTTCTATATTAATTCTCCATATATATATATATATATATAAGGCGTTCGTAGATGTTTAAATATTGATATATATATATATATATATTGGGGTGCAAAAAAATCAAGATTGTCTGGCATTTCACATAAAAATCACATAATAAATGACTCTGATCTTATCAGGATTGTTAAGCAATCTTGATTTTTTTTTTTGGTCAAAGCCCCTATTTGCACCCTTCATTTATTTGTTTTCCGCGGTCAACACCTTCTAAAATTTTTCCTCCCTATTAACACCCTCCATTTTTTAAAACCCGTAAAAAGCCCAATATTTTAACGGGCCGTCACGGCACCGTTAAAAAATATGTTACGTGGCACCCAAAAATTGACGTGGCACTACATAACGTTAATAATCCAACGTGGACGCCACGTATACAATAAAAATAATAAAAAATTATAATATTACCAAACAATTACATAAATGGCATTTTTTCTTTCTCCCCTCATCCTCGGCATCATCTTCACCATCCTCGCGGGGAACCCAGTTCTGGGTTCCTCGCGCAGGAACCCGAACTGGGTTCCA